TATATATATATATATATATATATATATATATATATATATATATAATTTTCAACAATGGAACTTAAGCTTTAAGATGAATTCTGATGGTCTTAATTCTTGCAAAATTATAGATGTTCATATGTTTTTTAGATGTTTGGAACTCAATAAAGCACTTCTAGTTGCATCTGTTCTCCTGTCTTATCCGCGCATATCTCTTCATTGGAAAGATTGATACCTTTTCAAAAAAAAGCAAATGGTATGAATTAATATTTCTGCTTACGATGTTCTGAGTTAGTTAGCGCTACTGAGTAATTTGGATTTGTAGATTCTGGAGGTCTATCCTTGGTAAACTCTAACAATAAGAGATTGAGCTGTGGAAATCTATTTTCTAGAGTTATATGTGACTTTGAATCGCTCAAAAGTTTCATTTGCGTCGAAAGTTTTAATTTCGCAAAACAGTGACCCAAAGTGTTTCACAAAACGATGCTGCTTGGGTCAAAAGAGAGTTACGTGAAGTTTTTATGTCGAAGTAGCAGAAATTCGCAATGCAATACACATCAAGCTCAAATAATTTGAATTCAATATCTGATTGAGTTTGCCACAATTTAATCGATTGTTATTCCAAACATTGCAAGTGTGGACAGTTCCAACTATATGATAGAAATATACATATAATTTAACCAATATATGACTTTGGCATTATCTATTCAAATAACTCCTTATCACAACCAATTTTTCCTCCAAAGATTGTACGCCGCACCGCTAACACAAGCCTTCGGATGCTGTATAGAACTCCAAAAAGTACGCACAAAACACTGAAAACACTGATGTTCCTCCAAAGATGCTCGCGCTGTTATTCTTATGGAACAAGGATTTGCCCAATTACTAACCCTTCAAAGCATCTACGCTCTTTGGATGCACACGTTTGACCATGATAGCAGCATACGCTCATGTTGCTATAGTCGTGGCGCTGACAGTTAAAACTCAAGCTCAAATTACCAAATTTCTGTGAGCCCGGATAGAGTCCTGTGGTAATAGCTATACGATTTGTAGCATTGTTCTCCGGAATGCAAGAGTAGACAGCCTAAAACACTTAGGTACGGTATACATATTTTTTTGAAAAACGAACATTACAATCTGGGATTTTACCCTACCTCTGCGCTGATTCCGTAACCACGAATTTTGTTCAAAGCGATGAAACTCGCTGCTAAAACGTTGGAAAGTCCGCTTAGGGACAAAATGACAAGAGGTGGATGTTTCTGTAAATATCTGGAACAAAATTTTCTTTTGTGTTTATCTATGCATTTATATCAATTGAGTACTCTGTTTTAGCACAGTTTTTTGGACGTAAGAGCTCGCTCCATAGTTGATTTGATGTATCTAGTTTTTTGATTCCCTTCACGTTCTCACTACCATGTCGAGCAGCTCCGGTAGCAGTAAGAACGGCAAGAATAACCACTGCGGCGACGAGAAGGGCTATGATGATAAGCAGAACAGCAACAGCCATGTATAGGTACTGACGTGGTATTTTCTCGAGACGTCTTACTGAAATGGCATTGACTATTATAGTAAGATAAAGTTCGGAGAGATTTACTCTTAGATTGATTAGATTTAGATTAATTTTTTAGATTTTAATAGACTAAATTTCAGATACGCTTCTTTATCTGGAGCTATTTTCTGAAAATTTCTTAGGCAGCTTATTTTGTTCTGAAATGCGCTCTTTTCTTGGTAGAGACCTCGGCGGCAGGTTTCCGAAGGGCAGGCTATTCGTTTTCGTGAAGTGGGTCCGAGGTGAAGCTAGAGTTCAGTATTAATTATGGCTGCTCCTTCAACAACAAGAACGTTGAAGCTCCCCTCTTCTAATGGGAATGCTCGCGCATGCGACCTAAGTATTCTTCTTATTGTCTTATTCAATACTCACTTACAGCAATTCCATACACACTACGTGATCGTTCAGAAGGCTGCTCCAGTACAGGCCGATGTTTGCTTTGATGAGGGCGTCGGCGCGGGAATTTAAACGAATTTTACAGAATCTATATAAACCCGTTTTCCTGAGCAAATAGGCAATAAACAGCCGCCAGAACTGG